CAGGGGTGCTGTATTTAGCAGTGAAGGTTTCTGGGAGGAAAATGCACCTGCTCTGTCCCTAACCTCTGAAATGAGCCACATGTTTCCTTTTGGCTCCCCATTCTGAGCCATGCCATTCTTCTCTCAGGCTCCTCGGACACAGTCTGTGACCTGCTGGGGGCCAAAGGGAAGGATATCTTGTACATCGGAGACCATATCTTTGGAGACATCCTCAAATCCAAGAAGCGCCAGGGCTGGAGGACCTTCCTGGTGATCCCCGAGCTGGCGCAGGAGCTGCATGTCTGGACAGACAAAAGCGGTCAGCAGCCGGGCAAACCCCTGGCCAGGCTTTGCTCTCGCTTGCCTGGTGCTGCACCCCTGAGATCATGGGGCATAGAGGTGCAGGGGAGAGATCCCCCTGGCTTGCTGCTTCTCCTTTCAGCCCTTTTTGCCTTGATGGCAGGAGCTGGGGCAGCTCCCCGTGGGCTGGCCTCGGGGTCCCAGGCCTTTCCTGGGCTCTTTCCCACCAGCCAAGCACTGCCTTGGCCAGGGGAGAAGCTGCAGCTGAGTGGGGTTGAGTTGTTCATCATCCGTAACCCTGGCCCAAAAACCCTTTCTCCCTGTCTGTGTTGAGCCATGGCTTCTCCGGTAAAAAGTATCTGACAAAACACCCAGGTTATTGTCCCTGTCATGCCTGAGCCACAACTGCTCTCCCATCTGCAGGGAGTCCCTGCTCATCAGCCACTTCCTCCTCCTCCCTCCCACTCCCTCTGCTGCCAAAGTGCTGTGTGTTTCGCATCCTCCAGCACCACTGTTTTTCTCCCAGGTTTGCCACTTGGTGTGTAAATACGTGTGTGGGTTATGCAAGTTGCCCTGTGGCTGGTTGGACGGTTTTAGTGAGGGCTGCAAAGGTTCAACATTAAAAACAAAAAGGGGAACCAGAAACCAAGCCTAAGCTCTGCCGGTGGCACAGAGCATGGTTGAGCCCTCTCCCTGCACAGTGGCTGTGAGATGCCGGGCTCTTTGATGCCCTTTGATGCAGTGCCCTTCCACTGCCATGCAAGGGAAACAGGCAGGATGGTGGGTTTCCTTCCAGCCCTTTTCATTTCAACAGTGTAAACTTACCTTTTTCTCCATTTTTTTTTTCTGGATTTTCCAGCCCTTTTTGAAGAGTTGCAGAGTCTGGACATTTTCTTGGCCGAGCTATACAAGTGAGTGTTCAAACACTTGACAACTTTCCTGCTGCCTCCCACTGGACAACTTTCCTGCTGCCTCGCCCCGCCTAGCGACAGCTAACAAGTGGCTCTGATGAACCCGTGGGGTTGGGTTAGTGGCGCTGCTGCCCAAGCTTTGAATCAGGCCTGGGCTCTGCCCACAAGACCAACCTTCCCCTCCAGACCAGCCTCCCTCCCTGAGCCCCCATCCCACAGCATCTGGTTCTGAAAGGCTTTTCACACATGTATTTACCTTTTCGCCTGTAACTAGGCATCTGGACAGTAGCAGCAATGAACGCCCTGACATCAGCTCCATCCAGAGACGCATTAAGGTACCAATCATAAAAATCCCTTTTCGTCCTTTTAGATCCCAAAGGGCTTGACAACCCGACCCCACCGCTCAGCCCTGAAACGCTTTGCTCTGCCTTTGGGTGGGCACGGCAGCCTTGGCAAAGCTGTTCTGTCTTTGTGGACCCAAACGGAGGAGCTTCTCAGCTCACTGGTGCCACCAGCACTCCTGAAAGGCAGCCTGGTCTGGAGTAGGGTCTCCTTCCTCATGCACGCAGCAGCACTGACTGACGGTGCTCACTGCTGCAGAACCGGGCACTGGCACACACAAGCTTGGCGGGACTGTAGGCTGTGGTTCAGCCAGCCCTGGGGTGCCAGCCTGGGGAAGGCACTGGCCCTGAGCCCTAAGCCTGCTGCTGCCTTCTCCTCTGGTAGCTGGGACTCAGCTGCGCTCTGCTGCTGCAGGATATGAGCACAGAAAGCCTTGCTGGAGATCCTTGCAGATCTCACGCAGTCCCCAGCCCTCAGTGCAGTCCACTTCAGCGTTGTCGTGGCTCCGCGCTGCTGCCTGCCCAGCCCAGGATCTAACCTGCCTTTTGCTTGTAGAAAGTGACGCACGACATGGACATGTGCTACGGGATGATGGGGAGCCTCTTCCGCAGCGGCTCTCGGCAGACCCTGTTTGCCAGCCAGGTGATGCGCTACGCTGATCTCTATGCAGCCTCCTTCATCAACCTCCTCTACTACCCCTTCAGCTACCTCTTCAGAGCCGCCCACGTCCTGGTGAGTTGCAGACCCTGGGGAGGTGGGCAGGGGTCCCAAAAGTGCCTGCGCTTGTGTGCATCAATGCTTCCACAAGCGATGGGAACAGCACCGTAGAGGGTTGGGTGCCATTTGATGCACTCTGGGCCAAAGGGTCACGTTGTGGGGTTTGCTCTCTCGCCTGTCTCAGGAAAATACCCTGGGACGCCCCTTACCATCTCCTCTCTCTTACATTTGCAGATGCCACACGAGTCCACGGTGGAGCACACGCACGTCGACATCAACGAGAAGGAGTCGCCGATGGCCACACGCAATCGCACCTCAGTGGATTTTAAAGATTCTGACTACAAGCGGCATCAACTGACCCGCTCCATCAGTGAGATCAAACCGCCCAACCTCTTCCCCCAGGCACCTCAGGAAATCACACATTGCCATGATGAAGATGATGATGAGGAAGAGGAAGAGGAGGAAGAAGAGGAGGAAGAGGAATAAGAAGGAAAAAGCAAAGCATCTCTGAAGACAAACCGTGACTCTAGCAGTGACCAGGAGCGGATTCCTTTGTTGGGGCCCTTGGGGTGATGGGTTGGGGGGGGTGTGATTCTTGCAAAGGCACATTTTGAAGATGTCTGGAAACTTCTAACAAATTAACACTAATTAGGAGGAGACCCTTGTTTTCAGTTTTGCAGACGGTTCAAAAAGCTGATGGATTCTGCTTGGCTGGTGCATTCAGATTGGACTGCCCGCCTGTGCTGTCATGCTGTTCCCATTACATTTAGGGATGCTGTGTGTTTATCCCTTTCCCGTGATGTGTTTCAGTTGATTTTCATTTGAACGGTGTCCTGTGAACGGTTTTTGCCATTTGTTACGCTTGCTGTGAAGAAGGAAGGGATGTGCTGGGCCCTGGAGGAGACAAAATGATCCAAATCCTCCTGCCCATTGGGTTGTTGCCCTTAACCCTCTGCCTCTGGGTTACAAACTCCCCTGTCCCCATGTTAGACAGGGTGTTGCTGTGGCTCCCAGCGCTCAGTTTTCCCTCTTTTTGGCGTGAGTTTCTCTGTGTAAGTGGTTCAGTTCCTCCGGCCATCACGGATGGTGGTGGGATTCCAGCTCTTGCATATCTGCAGCTGTACACATTCCGGCTTGTAGACGCTTGTTGTCTGCTCCCAGTGTTTCAAAGCTCTCTTTCATCATCAGCATGTGATGCATGATTTCCAGCACATTTCTCAAACAGCTGAGCCGCACACTGTGTTCTCAGCTCCTGTAGTTTCAGCAGTAAATATTAACCCAGGAGCTTGAAGCTACCGCTTTAGCATTACGTTAGTCCATTCGATTTCCTGCTGCCTATTGCTGGCTTTTCTGTCTGCTCAGCTTTAAGAAAGTGAAACACCCCAAAGGCAAACACAGCCACCATCTGGAGTGAAAGGGCCTTTTAGTCCAGGGTGCTGCGGGCTGCGCCTCTCTGTCCTAAACTGGGAAACAGCACATGCCACAGGTGGGAGCTGGGAAACTCCAGTCCGGCCGGCAGCTGCCCTTGTCTTTGGCCTGGTGTGGAGCAAGTGGAGCCTCATCGCAGGTTGCGGTGGGCAAAGCTGCATCCCCAGCCAGGGAGGGTGACGGCTGCAGGCTGCCATGTGGGGACCGGGGGTGGCCGAGGGTGCTCCACGAGGATGGGCAAGCAGTCCTTGTGCCAGAAAGCCAGCCTAGGGAAGGCGTGGGGCTGGTGTGCAACCGGGCAGCACTGCCCTGCAGTTTTCATGTGTCATGGGTGCAGCCTCCCTTACTCCAGCCTGTACCGTTCACATGTGAAGGGATTACAACGAGGGCCCTCTTGTAACGAATTCGACTTGTCTCAGTACCATAAACTCATTTAATCTTTTTTTTTTCTCTTCATTTTAACGTACCTTAGGAGAAAATAAAAAAAAACTACCCACACCACCAACATCTGAGCAGGAAACGCTGCTGCTGTAGTGGCAGTTGTTCAAGTCAATAAATGATGATGTTTCTAAGAAATGCCTGGCACTTTGTGGCGCGTTGCTGAGATGATGAGGGCAATGCTGGAGGTGGCAGGGAGAGCTGGGACTGGTCTGTGGGGTTCCCACCAGGACGGGTGGCTGAGTAAGGAGGGAAAGCATCTCTGGGAGTTGGGTGCATGATGCATTGCCAAGCAGTGGCCATGGATCTGGCTTTACAGGCTTGTCTGGTCCCTGGGGAGCAGGGGGACAGGAAGCAATGGTGGACATGCAGCATTTGTTATCCCCATTGGCTTCAGCTGGGAGACAGAGAAACATTTTGGCCTGGATTCAGAAAGAGGAGGTGCTTTCCCGTGGCTGGAAGGGCAACACCCCACCACCACCCCTGGATACTACCTCCAACATTGTGCCTTTCCAGGGCTAGTCCCCACCGTGTGTGACCTGGTGGCACAGCACAGCCCACGCTCACCAGGAGTTGCAAGCATGGTTAAACAGAGGAAAAAAAGCACCCAGGCTGGACAGCCACTGCCGTGCTCAGCCCTCGCCTACAAACAAACCCCTTGCATCAACCAAACCAGAGCAGATGAGGCCCCGCCATCAGAGTTACCACAGAAGGAGATTCAATACCCAAGGCTCAAAGTGCCAAACAGAAAGTCAACACTAAATGGCCACAGATGTGGGCCAAGACAGCCGACACTTCAGATATTGTTAAAAGCCCCAAACCCAACACTAAGTCCCTGACTCCTTGATTTTGGGATCCAGAGAGCAGCTAACATGTACCTATAGCCAGGTTGGCTGCAGGAGGGGTTGGAGAGAGCTGTTCCCAAGCCCTTTCACTAAAGGCTATGCTGGGCTTTGCTATGTTTGAACCTCATTTCTCCAAGTATAGCCACTTGAATTTTTCACACTTCAGCTCAGCAGCTGGGGACAGCATGTGGCTGCGGGAAGGGAGGCCTGGGGAGCTCTGTGCATTCCGCCTTTCTAACCAGTCACCACAAATACCTCACTCCCAGCCCAACGCTATTTCTGACGGTGATGAGGAGACTCTTCAAGGCTGGAGCAATGGAAAGTATTTGACCCTCACCTGAGGGTGGGAAGGTGGTAGGCAGATGGACACAGGCACCACTTCCTGCCCGGCCTTGTGCTGCTCTGCCCTTCCTGCGCTGCCTCCACCATGGTGTCTCAGTAAGAAACCAGCCTCGGCCCTGCCCTGAGCTCTCTCTGACCTGATTTCTGATTTCTCCCACCTTCTTCCACACTACACAACCACCCTCCCTCCTCCACGGAGACAGAGGGGGCTCACAGTGGTTGCACCAAGCAAATTTTACCAGGGACTGGAGGCCAAGGACTGCTCTGCCCTTAGCCACAGCCCTGCAGCGATTCTGTGTTGGGCACTGCCAGCAATTGCTTCTGGACAAGTCAAAGTAACTAGAGGTGCTCCCAGCTCCCCTTCCCTTACACCAGTTCACCATCTTTTCTGCAGCCATCTCTGCTCTCTCCTACTCATCACCAGCCTGATGACCAGAGGCAGTTTGGTCAGCCTGGCCTCATGCCCCATGTGCCGCTGCCCCTGACCATCTCCAAGGCCCTGGGCTGGGCCCACCTGTCACCCACCAGCCATCGGTGTCTGTCCTGGCCTGGGGAGATCCAGAGGGGACAGAGGAGCCTGGGTGCAGTCACTGGAGAACCAAATCAGAGAGGAGGAAAGCATCTTGACTGCTCTCGTTTTATTGTTGGTTTTATTTTTTTTTATTTTTACAGTTGGGCAATAAACCATCTTGAAAAGAACTCTGAAAGCAACAGCCAGAAGGGGCCTTAATGCTGAAAGCTGGCACTTCTTGCTGGCGGACCTGTGGTCTTAGAGTCCTAGAGTCATGGTTTGGGTTGGGTTGGAAGGGACCTTAGAGATCACCTAGTTCCAACCCCCATGCCATGGGCAGGGGACAGCTTCCGCTAGAGCAGGCTGCTCAAGGCCCCATCCAACCTGGCCTTGAAAAATAGAAAGGGCAAATTCCAAAATTATTTCTTAATGCATTTAGCTTTATTTGTAGAGATGGGTGCCCCCGAATGATGCCAAACACGGTGAGACAGCATGAAGTGAAATGATCCTGGTGTACAGCGTGCTGCCTTTTTTAAAGAACGGTTGATTTTTTTTTTTTTTTTTTTTTTTTTGCAATCCTGGGAAATCTTTTTGAGAATGGAAAGGAGCACAGTAGCAAAACAGAACAGGTAATGGGTTTGGAAAAAGTATAAGGCCAGCTCCTTTGCTGCCTAAGTAAAATGAATCAACATACAATCATAGAATGTACTGGGTTGGAATGGGCCCTTTAAAGATCATTC